TGGGTACTGGGAGGTAATGTGCGTAAGAGGTCACCACGGATAATGACTTCTGCTTGGATTACGGTTTTACCACCGAGGATAATGTTTGTTGTGCCGATTATTTGGGAACGACGGGAGACTTTGTTGCCGGTGTCCTGGGGGGGGGGTTAGCATGGATTGGTTTGAGATGGAATTGAGATGGGAGGGGAAGTCAAGGTTGAATTGGGGGAGATAATGATAACAGGGCAACGAGAACTTACGGTTTCAATATATTCGCCTTTGGGCGCTTTGCGGGACATGATTGTTACATGGTAGAAAAGTAGATGAGGTTGAGGTTATTGCGTTCGGAGCTTGATATTGGGTTGATGTGGCAGAATTATTAAGGCGGTGAGATGAATCATTTCACTGTTTAAGTGCTTGCTAGAGGAACATTTATACATATTCGGTTCACATTGAAATTTGCGCCGTTTGATATGGTATGTTAATTGTATGTCAACGTATTCTTTAGATCGTGTCCATTTACTATTTCTGATTATTGTTCTCCTGTCACCCATGGGCCGTACGTAGTATTCAATATCCCTTTTCCTGAATCTTTCTCCCTTCTCCATGCATCCAATAGACCTCACGTCTTTAGCTCTAATTATCGATACCATGGTACTGGCGAAACAGGTACATTGATCAACCCATTCCATGCCCATCTATACAATTCGTCCGGACTAATACTGATCAGCTTTTCTTCTCAAACTCCCTCAAGTAACTAACAATGGAGAAGCGTTCGGTGCATCAGACGAACTATCTTCTATCCCCGTATCTCTCTCAAATATTCCATCGCCTGTTATCTTCCATCCTCCTCCAGCCCTTTTCACAAACTCTACTGCCATATGCCAGGCATCTGTATCTGCAGCATCTCCCGACTCGAAAGTCTTCAGATATCTGTAATTTCCTTCAGGTGGATTAATGAACATTTCTCGCATCAATTGAGCATAACAATTATTTCTCTCCATCCAAAGATCATCCACATCAATCTTCTTCATTAGTTCTTCATCTTCTAAAGCATCATTTCGTGGTACTAATTGACAATACAAATGATCCAATCTTGGTAATCCTTGGGCAAGACATTCGAATTGAGCTGTGATTGGAAATATAGCAATATATCTCATGGAACGAATGTCAGGATTGATCAGAGGTAAAGTACCTGATTGAGTTCCGACAAGACTTCGTAGTATCTATTGAAAGTTAGATGAATACCTCCACTTGGTATTGGTGGTCTACTTACAGATGGAGTCTCCAATTCCCACCACAAATCTGTCTTGAAGGCCTTTAGATTCGATCCTTCATTTAGGAGCAAGGACGTCCAAGATCTAATTTGAAAGAATCCGGAGGACTTGGCAGAAACACGACCCAAAGGACAAATATAGTGCAAGCGATCGTCAAAATAATAGTCTGGCGTTTGTAATGTCCCAGGAACTGAAGGGTCAGATCTGGTGGGACCACTTTCTTCGGGCAAAACCTCAATCTCCGTAAGGACTATTTCCTTGGATTCAGGTCTTTGCAATCGCAAATAGTGACATTCAATATCAAAAACCCAAGAATCCACATCATTGATGGTAGATGAAGTCAAAGAAGCAAGAGCCTCAACAGGTGCAGCAATCAACACTGTTGACGGATCAATCGTGTTAAAGAGTCGTCTCCAGAAACCATCAAATTCACATAATCGAGGTCGGCCATCATGACAATTTGATATCGTTTTCTCCCGAACTACCAAGGTGAAGCTTGACACGATGTCCGCAAAAGATTCTTTACGAATAAACTGACGAAAAGGCCCTGTTAAGTCATTGAGAATTGGTCTATAATCATCTTCTGAATATTTCAAGATATATCGTGTATGTTTGAATAGTAAACGCGAGGTAGCTTGTCTCCATCGTTTCGAAATTAGAGAGCAATTCTTGAGGTCTTGGATCTCGGAGCTTGTCACTTCCAAGGTTGGCTCATCATGAAGTGTCGTATGGGAATATGATGGAGGCTCTATATCCAAATGACTGAAGATACTGACTAGAAGTTCATTGGGAAGATCTTCAATGGTGGGACCTTGCTTCGTATCGGCTCCAGGAATTGTATGTTGAGGAACGTGGGATACCAGGGCATCTTCTGGTTGATTCGTTTGAGGCTGAAGTGATGGCACTTCTTGAGATTTGTTGTCGATTGTGAGATCCTCGAGACCATTTGGATTTGAAGGGGGAAGATCAGAAGCCATTTTCGTAGATGTCAGAGGTTGAAAAGATGAAGACTCAAGATGGTTATTGAATTGAACAGGCTGTTTCCAATGGCTTGATCGAATTGTGGATTAGAATAATGGAGCAAATCACTAGCTACCTAGGTACATACCCAAAAAGGAAATGTATGTCAGCAAGGGCTTTCGGATAAGGAAATGGATGCCGTTCACGGAATGCAGCCGAGGCAGCCTCTGAAATCTCACCAAGATATTATCTAAATATAAAATATATCGTGAGCTTGTAATCAAACATGCAAGTGACTGATGGACACTGGGTGCCTAGGTCTGGGTGGGTAGATTGACTTAAGCGGCACTTTCAAAGAACAGGGGGGGTTTGCTTGCAGATATATGACATATATCGTTCGCCACTAATGAGGGGGGAGGTTCGTTCCCGTGTGGGCCAGCTACTCAGAGGGGAGAGACTTACACGTATTGACGAGTTCTGGAAATCAATTTACATTCCTATAAGAACAATTAGAAGAAGTCTATCTTAAGAACTTATTTGAAATCATCTAATATCTACAACAACCATTGCTAACCCATCTCCGAGTTATAATTGCAAATTTTGCGAGATGGCTTGTTTATAACGTACATCATGGAGAGAAGTTGAGTGCAAGCCCATCCGATCCGGACCTGCATAGCTAGCCCTTACTAAGGTATCACCAAGCGGGGAACTAAACTACTTTATATCGAGATCTCCAATTGTTGCGGAGACGATCGAAAGTTGGGGAGGGGCAGTTGAACAAGTTGTCGCGGCATTCTATAGGAGTTGCTCGAGTAAGGGTCCAACAGCTGGCCTGGTAGAAGTATATATACTTACAGCTCCATTACCTCAAATTGATTCCTACACAAATACAATTTCCTTCCTCACATAAATCCTAAGCTACAGCGTTTATTCGTCTCAGTGACTCAGTCAATATGTCTTCCGAAAAGCTTCATCGCAATCCTCCTTTTCGAGCAGAACATCTCGGATCTCTTCTTCGTCCAGAACAACTCTTATCCATTAAACATGCTCTCGACAATGGAAAAAGTAATGTCACAAAAGAAGATTTGACAAAAGTGGAAGATGCATCTATTAATGAAATCGTTCAAGCACAGCTAGACTTGGGGTTTCATGCTGTAACAGATGGAGAATATCGTCGTCATATGTTCTGGTATGTTACAACATATTATTTCATCCCCCCTTCACTTATCCCCTTCACTTATCCTCTTTCCTTTCCCCTCACCCCTCAATACAACACAATATACCAAATCCCCACGCTAACGCTTCACTAAAAGGGGTACCTTCTTTCCCGGCCTCCAAGGCTTCGAAGAAATCCAAAATCCCCCCCTCGAATCCTTCCGCCGCTATGTTCCCGACATCGATGCCTTCCTCGAAGAAGGTCACAAACCCGGTGAATCCGTCTACTGCACCGGCAAAATAAAACACATCGGAAGCACCTACCTCTCCCAATGGACCTACCTCAAGAATCTCCTCCCGGCCGACAAAATCTCCCAAGCAAAAATCACTCTCGCAGCCCCAAACTGGTACCACCTCCGCTACAAAACCGGCCACGCATACCCCAAACATATTTACCCCTCCGACACCGAATACTTCACTGACATCGCGACCGCCTACCGCCAAGAACTCCACATCCTCTATTCCGCCGGCCTGCGCAATATCCAAATCGACGACCCCAATCTCGCATACTTCTGCGACGAGAAAATGCTCGCGGGTTTCAAACAAGACGGTGAAGATTCATCCGCCCTCTTCGATTCCTACATCCAGCTCTACAACGATTGTTTGCGTGATCGTCCGGAAGATATGCACGTAGGTATCCATCTCTGTCGCGGCAATTTCGTAAACGGGAGACATTTCTCCGAAGGAGGGTATGATGCAATCGCGACCAAACTATTCCAGGATCTAAACGTCAACACCTATTATCTTGAATACGACACCGCGCGCGCAGGAGGCTTCGAACCGCTCGCTTACCTCCCAAAAAATAAAAATGTGATACTAGGATTAATCACGAGCAAATTCCCAAAGATGGAAAGTCTGGAGGAATTGAAAGAGAGGGTTTTCAAAGCGGCGGATAAGATTGCGGAAGGGAATCAAGAGACGAGAGAAGATACGTTGAAGAGGATGGGTGTGAGTCCCCAGTGTGGATTTGCGAGTCATTCGGATGGAAATAATATGGAGAGGGGGGATATGCTTGAGAAATTGAAGTTGGTGAGGAGGTTGGCCGAGGAGATTTGGCCGGGGGAACCTTGAGGAAGTTGGAAGTCATGGAGCAGTAGGGAGGTGGGATGAGATGGGATGAGATGGGATGATGGGATTGGATTGGATTGGATCGATATAGGATGATAGGTGCATATATAATATGCGATTTCGGCTCTTGGGATAAGATGGAAGTACATGTCTTCGATTACCTACTAGTATAGCCTATATGTACTACTTCATTGTTGTATGCAGAACTCTTCATGAAGACCAAACGACTGAGTACATCAGCTATTACTCCATTCATTACACACTCTCTATCGGGGAATCGATAAAGTTATTTTGATATGCAATTTGTGCGGTACAAACTTTCTTCTTTTTCTAAAGGTTGATAAGATGGAGCCAGAAAACAATCTACTTCTCCTTCCCCCTTCTCCGTTTCCCTCTGCCGAAAAGTCGCTTCAAAGTCTTCAACCAGCGAGACTTTTATGACTTTGAATACACATACACAACACAATTCACAATTCACAAGCAAGTCCCGAAAAGTTATTTGACCAGAAACAAAAACCTATCAATTCTCTATTGAAAGGTACGCTATGATGTCCAGAAACGCCTGCGCCATCTAGATGCAAATTCTAATTTGCCATACGATTGGCCTATACCTGTACGCTGTTCCAAATACCTGGGTTACGCACCCAAAAGCAATCCTGTAACCCAGATGGATCTATCCAATCCAAATTTAATGCAACCCTAATCCTATGTAAAGAAGCCACCCGTCTTATAAACCACCAGTCCGCCTAAGGGCGCCTATCTAATCATCGAATTTATCACTATCCGAATCATTATCACTGAGATCCACTTCTCTCTTTCCCCTATCGTCCTGCATTTCTCTAAATGTACTATAACTCAGTAACAAAAATGCCACAATAATCAACAATCCCCCCAAAACAGCTGCCGGACTCAATGGTACCCCCGTGAAAGCCCAATCCACAATTGCGACGAGGAAAATTGTCAACAGTGCAGCGACACTGCTTAGAACGGGACTTGTAAGACTAATCAAAACCAAGAAACTTCCAGAGAAAGTCGCATTTGCGAGGACAGAAATGGCAAGCATCCAAGCCGCTTCGCCATGGGGAAGTTCAAAGGTTTCGAGTCCAGTGAGATGAAGAATTGGTAGAGGAATCCAGAGAACGAGAAGAGTGAATGAGCCGATGAGGGAGCCGAATGTATTTGCGAAAATCATGCCGCGACCGGGACTTGTTCCTTCTGGAGGACAAGCCAATTTCTTATACAAAACTTCGTAGAAACCATATAAAACACTGCCAACACCAATAACCAGGTTTCCCAAAACTCTATTCGATGCCTCGTCATCTTCATCCCCAGGCTTTCCACCCACTGAACCTCCAGATTTTCCTCCATGTTTTGTGGGTGTGGAATCTCCATATGCCACGATCAAAACCCCAACAATCGCAACCATAACCGCAAATGATTTATCCCATCTAAGAGGTTCTTTTAAGAGAGGAACGCTGAATGCATATGCGAAGAAAGCCGAACAATTGTATATAGCCGTGAGATCAGATGGCGATGTTAAATTCACTGCCACGTACCATGATCCACCGGCAACTGTGAGAGCGCATGTAACGAATGCGGTCATTCTGAGCATATACGGAATTGGAGATCGTTGGCCTCGCGGAACGTCTAGTTGACCTGACTCTACCATTTGTGCGGTTGTTCGAATGAGATATACGTGTCTTCTCCAGAATGTCTTCCATGGCATTTTCCATTTTTGTAATCGCAATATTAAAAGTTGAGTAGGCCATAATAGTGACCAAGATCCGTGAGTAAAGTATCTAGAATATCCATTTAGTTTTGTTTGAAATTTTGTGAGATAGGCGCCACTACTTACAACATGCAGTATGCTTTATTCCACCCTAATTGATGTTGTATATACACAGCCGTTTCGGTTTGTATCACGAAACTGACCAAACTCAAGCCCAAAAAAAAGGCTGCGTATGTATATTTCTTTCTCGTATCTAATTTTGCTTGAGTATCCGGACTACGACTTCGCATAGTAGATCGTCTCGAAAATGTAGGACGTTCGGGTGCATCTTGAGGAGCATTGTATCCTAACCTCCCTCTCTCGGGATCATCATTTTTGTGTAATAAAGGTTGATGTGAACGGCCATCGGTAGGACGATGTAATGTAGGTCTTCGTCCTTCCATCTCGTCGTCGGATTCTAAATCGGAATTTTCTTGTTCGTCGGTCAATGGACTAACTAGTGACACTTCGCCTTCTTGTGCTTTTTGTGCGAAGTCGTGAGTCCGAACGGTAGGACTGCGAGAGGATACCCTTGAAGAATTTCCAGATATGGGATTTGAGGTCTTCCACGAGTTGTTTTGTAATCCGGTCACTGAATTCAATTCGTGTGTATTGGAGGATATCTGGTGAGCCCTATAAGACATACATGCGATTCAGGTGGGTGATGTGATAAGTTTTAGTATAGAGGAGGGTGGTTGATATCGGAATAAACAATCAAGACTGATAGGGTGGAATCCGTGAGTGGGTTGGCTTTGATTTTTTTATTGGCGATTTTAACGATAGCGCCTATATCGCAGGTGAAGTAGATAATAAATTGGGGATTGATCGCATAAACTTGGCTGTAACTGTAAAAGGAGAAATTCGAAGACCAATCAATGCGAATTTGTTGTCGTCATTCTATAAGCAAACGGATCTTGATATGGGGTTGGATATGGATATGGATTCTGGATGGAGTGACCACCTAGGTAGCAAGTAGTGTAGCGTGCACGATGCAGTGTAGTATCCAGTAGTAAAAGTAGTGAAAGCCCACCTGGTAATCGGTGTCGTGAGTGAGTCAAGCGTCAAGCGTCAAGCGTCAAGCGTCAGAATCGAGCATAGAAGTGGATGAGCAATATGAAGCAGAGAGTGAGGGAGACCCTGGAGAGAAGACCCTGAAGGTTGGTGGTTGGCTGAATCAAGGAATTATCAGATCCATGGATAATCAGATAATTAAATGTTAACCCACGGGAACGGACCAAGAGACCTCGATGTGGTGCAAGTTACCAAAGAGATCTCAAATCTTGGATATATAACTAGGGAGTGGTGGTGTGGTGGGAGGGCAGGATGGTCAAATGGTAGGCTGCTCGTCGAGAGGTGGGTTGAAGTAGGTAGGTGACAATGGTACCGTTGTACAGAGAATCATCAGCAGAAAAGTGTGGTTACTCGGGTTCGATTTGGATGTGCAAAGAGATTAACAGATAATTATGAGTTACTAGGGATTTCTCAGGTAGACGTTGGAGATGTAGAAACTAGGTAGGAATTTAGACTATCTTCATTCTCATCTGCATAATCTTCTTAGTTCTGCCTTCTCCTTCTCCTTCTCCTTCTCCTTCTCCTTCTCCAACCACTACTACCTAGATACTACTATTACTACCGTTGCCTCACAACTGCTTCTATCAAGCTTTCATTGAATTTCGTTCTAGAGCCATAAGCTTGTACGGGAAAGGCCATCTAACCTGTAGGCCTTTTACTCATGGCATGGCACTCGAGGACTCGAGTAGAAAGAAGAAAGGGAAAGCATAACCGGCGACCGAATCATCAAAGAAACTTTCCGAGTTCATCCAATATCATTTAGATAATATTGCATGCATACATACAACTCGTCTCATACGAGCCTGAGATTCTACCAGCATTTTTCAACCTCGGTTTCAACGAATTCGAATCCCCCTCTAGACGTGTATCAAGTGTATCAAATGTATCACGAATGGATTATTACTCAGGTCGGTCGGTGTCGGTGTTGGTGTTGGTGTTTGTGGTGATGGTGATGGTGATGGTGATGGTGATGGTGCGAAGGTGGGGTGGGGTGGTGATGCGGGGTTGAACAAGATGGCATCACTACATTCAACCTTCAACCTTCATTACTACCGGTACCTCAGTACAGGAATAGGAATGTCAATTTCCATCTTCACTTCATACAGTATTCGTACCTAATATCTAATCTTGCATCCAAACTTCCCTTTGACTCTTGAAGATCAAAATACTATTGCACTCGTCAACTAAGAAACATCAACCCTTTTCAATCCACTTCCGCACAATGCCTCTCATAGCTACTAACCCCAAACCTCGAATAATTCTTGGCCTGATGAACTTTGGTCCAGACCCATCCACCGGCGCACGCATTACTTCATTAGATGAATACAATACCTTCCTCGATCATTTTCAAGGCGCCGGGTACAATGAAGTCGATACCGCACGTACATATGTTGGAGGAAAACAAGAAGCGTTTACACGCGAAGCAAAATGGCAAGAAAGGGGCTTAACACTAGCCACGAAAGTCTATCCAACAGAAGCGGGATTGCATACAGAGGCAGAAATAACGAATAGATTTGAGACAAGCCTAAAGGAATTAGGGACGGACTGTGTGGATATATTCTATTTGCATGCTGCTGTTGGTTCATCTCAATCATGCGAAATATGAATAAGTACTGATAGTGATTTCTAGGATCGCGCAACCCCTTTCACAGAGACATTGGCGGCTCTCGACAAACTTCATAAACAAGGCAAATTTGTCAACCTAGGACTCTCCAACTTCACTGCTTTTGAAGTTTCAGAAATAGTCATGCACTGCAAATACAACAATTGGGTGCGGCCAACAGTATACCAAGGAATGTACAACGCCATTACCCGTTCCCTAGCTTCTGAACTCATTCCATGTTGTAAGCGCTACGGTATCTCTGTTGTTATTTACAACCCCATCGCCGGCGGTCTCTTCTCGGGTGCCTACAAGTCATCCGAAGTTCCAACCAGCGGACGCTATAGCGATGCCGTGGGAAAGTTAGGCGAAATGTACAGAAAACGCTATTGGAAAGAATCAAACTTTGCCGCATTGAAACTGATCGAACCAGTTGTTCAAAAACACAATCTGACAATGGTGGAGACTGCATTCCGATGGTGTATACATCACAGTGCACTAAATGTTTTGGATGGGGATGATGGGATCATTATGGGAGCGAGTAGTATTGAGCAATTGGACTCAAATCTCAAGGATTGTGAGAAGGGACCATTGCCCGAAGAGGTAGTGAAAGTTTTGGATGAGGCTTGGGAAGTTTGCAAAGCAGACACGCCAAATTATTGGCATTTGGATTTAAAGTATGATTATGATACGAGGAAGGCACTGTTTGGCGTATAGGCATATAGTAGATGTACTTTTAGAATAGCGCCGAGATCTACGGTCGCTTTCGTAGATGACAAGACGAGTAGCAGTGAAACCACTTGAAGTTCATATCCATAATGCTATTCAGTACTGAGAAGCCACAGAGATTGCAGTCTTGTGATTTATCTCCAGATGATCGGTATTGTAGCTTGGACTGTACGAAATATTAAGTCCTTCTAGAGCATTAAACCTTTCAAAAGACATTAGTCAAGCCCTATTGAAATCTACATACTAATAAGCTACTCAACATTGATTTTGTCTCATCCCATCCATAGCTTATTATATGAGATTTACTTTATGATATTGAGGATTCGTTAAAACAGCATTGCCTGATCCTACATTCGGCTAACCTAGACATCGGTCCATAATCAACGCGCTTCGCGTCATCGTCGCGTCTTCCCACAATCAATTTCTCAGATTACTGCAATTTCTCAACCTCGTCCTGTGCATCTATATCAAGAATCGGGATCAATCCCCCTTAATTTATCTAGTGCAAATATCTGCAACATCATTGTGATCGCTCTCCATATTTATTACACATTTGCTCAGTGCAGGTACTGAACAATCTCAACATCCACTTGCTATTCGCACATTCGCAAACCCCTCCATTTGACAGGGACCCATTTAAGGTGACAATATGGTCAACACTGGAGTCAAATCTGGACCAGGGATTTACTCTGCTACTTACAGCAATGTATGTCTGCCTACTCGATTGCGCTAGACTATGTCTGCTTGTTTCTTGTCGCTGACTTGATTAGGTTCCAGTGTATGAGTACTTGTTCGGAGAGGCTTTGAAGGAGCATGGTAATTGATTCACTACTCCCTGCCTTTACACATCACGGCACTAACTCTTACACAGTAATGCGAAGACGACAAGATGATTGGATCAATGCGACACATATATTAAAAGCTGCTGGCTTCGATAAACCCGCCAGAACAAGAATTCTTGAAAGGGAGGTTCAGAAGGAAGAACATGAAAAGATTCAAGGCGGATATGGGAAATATCAAGGTTGGTATGCACCAGAAACCTAGGGATTTGGCAAGACTAAAATCATATAGGTACTTGGGTTCCACTTGAGAAAGGCCAATCTTTGGCACAAAGAAACAATATATACGAAAAACTTCGAGAGATCTTCGAATATACGCCTGGTGAATTTAGTCCACCTCCAGCACCAAAACATGCCACGAATAAGCCAAAGGTCAAGAAACCAGCAGTACCGAAATGGGGAGCGAGTGAGTTTCCTGGTTTAAATTTTGGTAGATTTTGCTAACAGCACAGAACCAGTACCTATCCAACAAGCGGCGGTTGCCCGTCAAGTCGAAGAGAATTACGATAACATCAGCACTCATTTGAATGACGATGAAAGTGTACCAGATGATGTTACAGTCGCTTCCGCTTCATATATGGCAGAAGATGATCGATTCGATATGTCTCAACCACCTACGGGACATCGAAAGCGCAAAAGAGGCGAAAGAGATGATTTTCATGAAGATGATTCTGTGGATGTTCGAGCACAAGCTCATCTGATGTGGGCTGATGAACTCTTGGATTATTTCATGGCACCTCCTACCGATGCGAACTTGACTGACAGAAGACCCGAACCACCAATAAATTTCGAGCCTAATTTCATTATCGACACAGATGGTCATACCGGTTTACATTGGGCAGCATCAATAGGCGATGTGGATATATTAAAACAACTAAAGAGATTCGGTGCGAACACAACTTGTCGGAATAGTCGTCAAGAAACTCCACTCATTAGATCAGTCCTTTTTACAAATTCTTATGACAAACAAAACTTTCCTCTAATTGTCAAAGAATTGATTGGTACTGCCAACGAAGTAGATTCATGTGGAGCTACAGTTCTTCATCATGCAGCGGCAACCACCAACATGAAACAAAAGTTCAGATGCGCTCAGTATTATCTGGATGTTCTTTTAGAAAAATTTATTGAAATCTATCATCCAGATGAGGTTCAAAGATTATTGGATGCTCGAGATATTAATGGAAACACAGCAATTCACATCGCGGCTAAAAACAAAGCTCGCAAATGTGTACGAGCTTTAATGGGTCGTGGTGCTTCAACAGATATTCTGAATGATATGGGTGAAACGGCCGAAGAAATTATTCAAGATTTGAACGCCTCTCGTAGATCGGAAAGACACCAACAAGCCGCTTCCTCTTCGCCTTTTGCGCCAGACTCGGCACGTCATATTTCTCACTACGATGATCTTGAACAGGAAAATCCTCGAGGTGTTGCCCACATTTCAGAAGCAGCAATGACTCTTAAAAATAATGCGGAACCAATTTTACTGGAGAGATTACATGCATTAGCTTGTAGCTTTGATGAGGAATTGGCAGAAAAAGAAAATGCAGAGGCAGATAGCAAGAGGATTTTAGAAGGGGTGAAGATGGAGTTAGCGGGGGTTAGGGAACAAGCTAGGCAATTGGCGGAGGAAGAGGAGGGCGAGGAGAATTCCATTGCCGCAAAAGCGCATCTAGTCGGTTTACAGGAAAGAGTTCAGAGTCTAGTAGAGCGACAACAACAACTTCTCCTGCTTTCCCGCACGCAACATGAAGGCTCTAAAATCAATGGTCATGGAGGTGGTCAAGTTAATGGAAATGCAGATTTGGAGGAAGGAGAAAATGAGAGGATTATGGTAGCTCAACAGCTTCAAGAGGAAATTGAGAGGAGAAGAGCGTTGGTAAGAGAATATATCGGGGCATTGGGAGTTGCAGGCGGTGGAGACGAGGGAGAACTCTATAAGAGAGTTATTGTTAGGGATTTGTGTGTTGATGAGGGAGAAGGTGGACTTAGTGATGAGGGTTTGGATGCGTTGATCGCAAATCTAGAGGAAGAAAGGGGTGGAGTAGGGTTGGAGAGAGAGATGGGGGATGAAATTTAAGGGTTGAGTTTGGAGATGAATCTTCTATCCTTCTTCGGGAAAATCTTTTGGTTAGTCATGGCGCTTGGGCTGGGCAGGAAAAGGGATTGAAATGGAGTGCTAAGGGATCACTTGTGTTGATATTTCCGGCATTGCGATGGGTGAATGAATGGTTAGCTGGTTGAAGGTGCTATATGGTGATTATTTACTGCCCGCTTCTTGGGGGGATGTCTGGCGCCATAGCTACATATGAACGTGTACACATGAGATGATACAATGCTAGTATTAGGTTTTTGTTCAAGATGATAAGGATTGAGATAATAAATGCTGTGATGTGAAACACATTGATAAAGCTAGATAAGAGGGTATGAAATAGAGGGATTATCAAGATTAAGAGATTGCGCAATCGAGAATTGCAGTCTAGCAAGTGATACCTGAGTCTCGATATGAAAGAGAGGCCGAAAAGGGCAAAGTAGGCTGGAGATTCAAAATCCCATGGGTAGTTTTGTAGCTAAAGTGAAGTTGTGCAGATATGCAACAAGTTTCTAATTTTTCTTGAGAGGAGAATAATGAGAGGACGAGTGGTGAATACGTCGCTTACGGTGAAGAACATATGATACTTAGGTACTGAAGAAAATAGAATAAAAGGGGGGCGGGGATGATGATAGTGGATAAGCGAACTCCCTGAAATATAATTCCATGCTTGGATGAGCATGGGATCGCAGAGCGGATAGAAGAAAGGTATTTGGTACATCGGGTACTGGAAAAGATTACCTGTCTTTGTTTTTGTTGGGAATGATGTGATGTATGCTACGATATATGCCAGGCGGCAGTATTCAAGTGTCAACTTTAAGTGTCGAATGCTATACGGGTATTAGTGCGTAGATAGGTAGTGGATGTTATCCTGATGCTTGATGTTTGATGTTTAAGCAGAAAGCGACTTGAAAACCTTTCTGGGTTGGTCGAGGACTCACTGACCTAGTGGGTGATTTGTAGCGATGGAGTAAAGTGAAGTGATAACAGTGCGGTGGTAATGCGTGAGAATGGGGATTAATGAGCTAAATGCGAGAAGCTGAGAGTGAGTGGATATTCTGTGATCTCTTCGAGTTGACTTTTGGGGCGACTTGAAAATTGAAGAAGAGGAGAGGAGGAGGGGAGGGTGTTGTGCTTGAGTGTAGATTTGGTATAGGTATCTATTTTTCTTGAGGTTTGGATATTGGGGATTGGGGATTGGGGATTGTTTAAAGTAGGATGGTGTATAGTTTTTAGAGGTTTGGGGTGGTGTGAATAATTAGTGGATGAATGAAGAAAGGATGAGGGAGGAAGGAAAGAAGGGTATCACATAAAAGCTATAATCCAAGTCTGGAAATGACTTCGAATCGAGCAGATTGCATACTATATGATGGATCCACGCCAGGTTGGTATTTCATGCAATATCTAGCTAATCATTATCAGCTGTTTTTTGCTGCACTATGTAGATAGAAACTCTACCGTGGGGGGAATTGGTGTATTGGAGTTTGTGTAGGTTAGGGTTTATGCTGCTGGAGTTGCGCGTTGCGAGTTGTTTTTGTTAAGGGGTGATACGATGCGATGAGATTGAAATGCTAGCGGATAGACAGATTGGAGATGGGAATGTGTATTCACTATAGTTGCCAACATTGGATATAGGGATTCTTCAAAGCGGATAATCCTGCATGGATATTCTTTGTGCTCGGGTTGGGATGGATGTGATTTGACTGCGGTAATGAGACTATTGAAGCGGACATATGAAATCTTAGTATGTTGATTTATACGAGCAGAAAACTGTGACTCCCCGCAATGACAGCGAGTGACAAAAAGAAAAGAAAATGGTAAATTTAAGTCACAGTAACATCTCTCAAAAAATCGGGACACTGACACTGAGTACCCAGGAATATAATATCGATAGAAATCAAGCCCCTTGTAATTCTACCCTCCACCACCCCCTTTAAATGCCAGTCCTTAGGGCCCAATGCTCTCGGAAGGTATACAATTGAAGAAGGATAAAACGAAAACGAGGAGAAGAATGTGGTGTTTTTAAGACAAGAAATTCTAAAGTGGATCTTTCGTATTGATGGATCTTGAAGTGAATATTCTACTGTGGTGGTGATCATCTTTCAAGTATCAAAAGATATAGCTTGGTTCGAGTCTGACTCCATAAAAGTGGCAGATATCTCCATCACCGTCAAAGGATGGGAAGAGCGAGAACTGTTTTGGAATTTTGATGCGCAAGTTGTTCTTCAGTTTGTGTGATTATTTCGCGGGATCAAGGAATGGAAGGGAATTGCAGAAAAGCACATAGGCAAAAAGTAAAAATAGATAGTGTGCATATGTTTTTGAAAGTGACAATATTACACAATAGGAGACTTCCGACAGTAAAACTCGAATGTATAATTTTCACCGAAAGAAGGTGCATGCATCTGCATGACTTCACTTCAGAGATTGAAAATTACAGCAAGCGATCAAAAGCAAAGGTCCTTGTGCGCAGGGGCGATATATGTAGTTGTGGTTTGAAGAGAAAATAATCGGGAGCTAACATGTAGTTTATAGAGTATTCTATCTTTCTCGCTGGTATAGCCGAACGCATCATACCAATTAGGCGATTCAAACTCTTGACCCACGATTGAGAAGAGCCAATAACGACCAACACTCGAATACCTCCAATCTTAGACCAATCTACCCATTTCTATACCTCGACCTCGATTATTCCCATTCTATTTCCCAACATCCTTTTCTATACCAAGCTTTTCACAAATAAGGCTTCTCCCCCAAACTACAAACTCTATCGCCTGCTCTCGCTTCCGCACTAAATTATCAAATGTTAGTTTCATTTATTGATACTGATTCCCACCAAAGCAATGATCCTCAAGCAATTCAATCCCTTTCACTCCCCAGCCCACCAAGTGACCAAACCAAAGAAAAGAAAAACGTACTAATCATAAGTAGCACAATGCCAATTACTCCTATTATCCCAAATCGCTACATCATTCTTACTCCACTTCCATCTGACTTGCGCATCGTGATTCAAAGGCACCAAATTCTTCAGCCATGGAAGTAAGAGATCCGATTCATCTTTTGTGAGAGGATGGAGTCGTCGTGTGAAGCCTTGGTTTATGAAAAGGGATTTCTTGCCGGTTACAGCTGTTGTGTGTTAGTTGTTGAACTATGCACGCATCGAGCGTATTTGGAAAGAAAATGGAAGTGATAATAGTAAGGATAGGGGCAACACACGATTTGTCCTAACCACCGGATGAACAGCACTCAACTCTTTTCCAATATTTAATGGACTCCCTCTCATATCTTCTCTAATATCCTGTCCGAGTCTCCTTGCTTCATCATGGAAAAAGCTCGCATCATGAGTCGCTGTTAACCCTTCCAACATTTCCTTCATCCTTGGACTCAGTCTTTCATAAATTTCGTTTCCAGATGCCCATAAAGTATCGCCACCTGTTTCGGGAAGGGTATGGATTTTCAACATGGCATAATCGGAAGGAACTCGTTCAAATGTGATATCGGCATGCCAGCCAGTGCTGGCAAATCGAGATACGTCGGACAGTTGGTGAGTTAATCCACCGCCTTTGGCTTGCTTTGTGGAAGAGATCACGGAGACTTGATCGCCTAGTTCGGAGGATTGTTCGGTGAGGGGGTGGATGTGAAGTGTAGAGGATTCAGGCTGAGGCAAAATTTTAGATGATTGGAAAACGTATTCGATGAAGACGAGGAAGATAACTCATGTTTCCTAAAAATTTAGAAAGAGAAGAACAACGTACAGATCCAGCTGCTTTGGAGATACGTTCAATAACAGCTTTCATTTGCTCAGCATTGATGTCTTGATTTCTGAAAAAGACTACACCACGATCGGAGACTATCACATTGCATCAATACCAATTTCCCTACATCACGAAAATATATCAAACGTACTTGTCAACGCCAAATCCTTAAATAATTCCTCTGAGGTACTCGGCGATAGGAAATCTTTCAATTGAACCTTTTCGTCGAATACTGTTCCAATTACCGGTGTCAAGTCTGAGTGTCCAAATTGATCCAATACACCACTGGTCACTAACGGCTTGGTACATCTTGTACGAGCTATTTCATTCTCATTTTCCAATACTGGTTTCGCGGTAATATTGATGAAGTCGGCGGAAGGCATGATAGCTAATTTTGGTTCACTCTGCGTGGACGTTTCGAAGATCTAAAAACAAAAATATATACACGGAATTTCTATGGAGCAGAAAGAAAATAGAAGAAAGAAGAGAACATACTCACAAGCTCCCAATATAATTAACATATTTATTATCTTCGTGTCAATAAAGTTCCCGAGGTACGGAATAATTCGAATGCCATCACATCATAGTATCTTGTTGGTCAGAACCCCGCAATGTGTAAACAGACCCTGGTCAAAGTCCAATTGCGTGATATGTCACCATTCGAATTTAACCAAAAATGCGTAGAAATCGCGGATCTGGCAATTGTATGTGGAAATCCCTTCCGTTATGAAACTAAATTTGCTGACTGAAAGTCACCGCGGTGATAACGTCCCAAGGATAAGAATGGGGTATGGTCGATTGGGTGCCCATGGCATGGACTTGTTTAAATACTTGTGATGGGTAGCGGATACTCTACCTATTGGATCATTTTCGGCTCGATTGGATTCCTTCTCCAAGTCAAAATCGACATTTGTAGCACTTGCTCTGCTCGATTTTCTTTCAATTGACGATATGGACGATAGTAAAGACACATCAAGAAAGGTGGTTTCAGACACTAAATCACAAATATCTGTGACCCATGTCGGTCGTGAGGCATTGGCAGATGCACTTCCACCTCATGAATTATATGAAGGAGCTCATCGATATGATCCAGCTGCTACATGGACAGAAGCAGAGGAAAGAAAAGTGGTACGAAAGACTGATCTGTATCTTTTGGTGTGGATTTGCGTCATGGTAATAAGTCTCCTCTCTTGATTATTACCCTAATTATTGACCTTCTATTCAGTTCTTCGGATTACAACTTGATAGAGGAAATTTATCCAATGCTACAGCGGACGGTATTCTGAGCGACCTGAAGCTTACTACCGATGACTATAACAATGTAAGTTTCTTTAGCTCCCCTAGTTTCAATGTGTTGGTATAAGTACTTACATCTTGGTAGGGAAATACGATTCAATTGTTGTGTTTTATGACGGCAGAATTCCCGGTTCAGTTCTTGACAAAGCGTTATGGATTCAAACACATTCTCCCCATCATGATGATGCTTTGGGGCACCGTCTGTAAGTTAAATAAACCTGAAAGCCTCATGAATCGAGAAAATAACATGACTGACACTACCATATTAGCCTGGACCCAGTCTTGGATGCACGATCGTACAACTTTCTACATCACTCGTGCCCTCATTGGACTTTGTGAAGGTGGTTTCATTCCTGGTACTATTCTCTTCGCAACATATTTCTACACGTCAAAAGAACTATCCGTTCGTCTCGCTTGTTTTTGGTCCACACTCAACATCGCGAGAGTAATCTCGGCTTTACTTGCTGCTGGTATCCTCACAATGAGAGGAGTAGGTGGTAAGCCAGGATGGTTCTATTTGTTCCTGATCGAAGGACTCTTTACTTTTTTGATCGGTTTTATCGTAAGTCATGCCCTGTTCTCATTAGTGTCTTGTGTCTGGCTAATAAGAACAGAGCTACTTTTACCTACCTCAATCGCCAACGCAGACTTCCAGCGTTTTATGCCGCAAGTCATGGTATACAGAGCGGGAGGAAGTAATTATGGTGAATGTAAGTTTTGAAGTCCAACAAATTGCTTCGATGCTGACCAGATAGCGAATTCTTCGGGATGATCCAGCAAAGGGACTTACAGCATTGAGAGAACCAGCCACATTCAAAGACATTCGTGAGGCATGGAGTGACTCTTCCATGTGGGGTCTTTACTTCATCGGCTTGGTAGCATACATTCCTGCGACACCTGTTCAATCGTACATTACACTCACATTGAAGCGCTTGGGATATACTACCTTCAATTCGAACATGCTGACTATTCCATCTGCTGCCATACAAATCGTCACTATGCTTTCGCTTGCATACAGTAGTGATTTTTTTGACGAACGTACGTTTCACTGTATTTTCGGAGAATTTTGGATATTGCCGTTACTTACGGCGCTCTTGACAATCCCCGATGACGGGAGGGAGTGGGGTAGATGGTCTTTAGTGACATTGATTTCTGGATGTAAGTGCTTGAGTTATATTGTGATGTTACCCCACCAACTAATTTGAACCAAGACCCCTATTTCCATCCAATCGTCTCCGCTTGGATTTCAGAAAATACATTCGACGTCAAGAAGCGCGCTATCACAGCAGCGACTTACAACGTTATTGTCCAAGTTGGATCCTTGATCGGCTCTCAAATCTATCGCAAATATGATGCGCCATATTACAAGCAAGGAAATAAGGTTCTTATATCCATTTGTGCATTGTCACTTGTAACATTTGTGGCGCAAAGACAATACTTGATTGTATTGAATAAAAGAAAGGAAAGAGTTTGGGATCGAATGACCCATGAAGAGAAGGCAGAATATCAAAGTGATAATGTAGCAAGAGAGAAAGATGGTAACAAGAGACTTGACTTTAGATTTAAGTATTGATATCAAGGTTGGTGAAAAAAAAACAGTTGAATTGAGGAAGAAGAATTGAAAGTGGTATAATGAAGTAGTAGTGTAATAAATTATGTCTCCATGCACCACGAATACTGTGAACACAAATTCGAATATACGAAAATCAGAACGCAAATATGTGAATGGCTCAAAGTTTTTAGAACAGAGCTGATGCATCGATCAATGCAGCGCCTGCAAAATTACGAAACTCGCATCGCACTTAGAAAGTTGTATAACGTCGCCGCGAAGCAGCCCACGATAAAAGCTCGTGCCAACAGCCCTAAACCACCCGCATCTCGTAGCTTGTACTTTCATGCGTTACTAGCGCACCAGGTAGAAGTTGGAGTGCTACCATCAGTTTTGGAACTATTCCGAGAATTTTCTTATTAACAACATGAGAGGTTGTTATGATTTGAATTTAATCTAGCCCCGAACGCGCAATCAGGGTTGAGAACGTCTGCGTCAAAGTAAATAAGGAAAGTCGTAATGATCTACCTAGAGTCCTTGAGACACCTCGGTATGCACAACGCACATAAGTTTCTAGAACATAAATCCAGTCGAGTACCTGACGTTGAACCAATATCTGGGGGTAACGCTGTGGATGTCTGTTTAAATGTCATGCTCTTCAAACATAAATTTGGAGCATGCGAGAAGATGAAACTAACACCAAGCTATGTGCACTTAATCAGACGACATGATGATCTGATTCAGCTAACAACCTGAATATATAGCCTTATAGCCTCTGAGAAGACTTTCTAGATAGGTAGGTAGAGTTGGGCAATTGTCGTCGAAAATGATACTTCTGTTGCTTCTCTTGATAAGATATGAAGGCAGTTCAACTTGGAGTATCAAATCAGATTGAGGCCATTCGTTTTAGAGCGCGAGACGCGAGACTTCAACAAATGTGCTTCTTTTGCAGATTTTGAGCTGATACTAGAGAGAGAAATAGTTGTTGTTGTCGTCGTCGTTGTTGTTGTTGTTGCTGTCGTCGTCGTTGTTGTTGTTGTTGTCGTCGTCGTCTTTGTAGTTACATCCGTGACTTTGCGCTATGCACATGCTCATACATGTGAATGGAATGTAAACTTTTCGAACAAATCGTAGCAAAAGGATCAACGATCTGACCCAACCCAGTGGGTAGGTACTCTCGATGTACTTCGTAATGTTTGAGTAGCCGTGTGCAGTCAAAAAGCCCAGATCGTACTCAAATTCCTATGTAAAAGTTTATGTGAACTAATTATAAGGTTAATTACGGCTTTTATTTTCATGGAAGGGTCCATGCATGGTCGGAAGTATTCTGCCGAGACTAAGAATGGGCTGGGATTGCATAACTTTTTCATAAAGTGTTGATCTGTACACTCCACTCTGTTATCGCGCCAATCAAATGACAGTATTGATTCAGAATCCCAATCTTATCAGATCTTTTCAGAAAAGCGGTGTAAAGTCTTTCATCCGATCTAATCCAGATCAGGTAACTCTTAATTAGTCATGAGCCAATAATCGATCTACAATTAGGCACGACCTTAATCACGGTCCCTTAAAATATAGCTTGGCGATTAGATCCCCTTACACAATTCTTTTGGCGGCAACCATTGAGAACCATAGAATCAATTGCTTGAACACTACATGAGAATCCATGACCATGAAAACCACAATGTATACCCCGAGTCTATTTGAGCGGCTAAAATGAGGATTCAATGAACCACTGCCCATTCACCCTCGAAAATTCGCCTTCGTTTGGTGGTATTTTCCCAATCATCTTCATCTTTCCAACGTCTCACCTCGCCTTACATTTAGAGGGTTTTGCGTCGTTTCCAACAGCTAGGAAAAGACCATTATTTTTCTTACCCTGCTACACGTCGAGGTGGTACAGAGAAATTGTTACAGGGGCCTTTTCCGTCTGTCGCGAGAAGGTATCAAGTCTCGTGGGTAGGAACCTTCCGATCAAGGTAATTGGAGATGAAAGCACGACAAAGATAGCTGGCTTACACTCATTCGCAGATGGCATCTCCTACTCATACCAACATTGTTAGCGACAACAATCTCGATGCAATGACATCCCCTTCTGCGGGGCTCTCTCCTACTCCTACAATTCCTGCATCTCCTCTGCCAAACATTACACCTATCATGTCTTACGATAGCGTCGACACTGCATACAATGCTGATCCATATTCCCTCCTCAATTCTAAGAAGGAAGACATAAGCATTGCCACACTTCGCACACAGCATCCGGATCAAAAACGAACATGGAAGGTTAGGAAGATCAAGAATTTCTACCATAGACAAAACGCTCTGATTGATGCATACCTAGCGAGTAACGACGAGGAAGCTGCGGAGTTTGAAGATGCCGTTCAAAATGGTGGAAAGATTAAATTCGCTATCTATGCTAGTTCCTCGGTCAACTTTTGTCTGTTCATCATACAAGTCTACGCCGCTGTCTCAACCGGAAGTCTTGCACTTTTCGCCACTGCTGCGGATGCTTTCGTAAGTTTTCAGGTTGATTCTGTGCTATGGATGAAGTCTAATGCCACATGCAGATGGATTTGGTCAGTTCCATTGTGATGTTGGTCACTTCCCGAATAGCCGCCAAACCTAATATCACAAAATTTCCCGTCGTGCGTAATTCAATCCAATCGTTTATGAAGTATTCTCATCTCACAATTCTCTTAGGGTCGCAAACGAGTTGAGACTGTTGGTATCATTCTATTCTGTGCACTTATGACTACCGTTTCCGTGGAATTGATAATCGAATCAGCTCGTAGTTTGGCAGATGGTCCAAGGGGAAACGTAACGCTGAAAACGGTTCCTCTAGTGTGCGTCGGTGTCGCTATCTTTTCCAAGGCTGTCCTATTCGTATACTGTTTCACCTTACGGCGATATCCAACTTGTGCAATTTTCATGTTAGATCACCGAAACGACATTGTGGTTAACAGCTTTGGATTGGTTATGTCCATCGTGGGTACTAAGTATGCAAAAGTCTGGTTCTTAGATCCCGCCGGTGCTATTGCTATTGCATGTTTGATCCTATTCTCATGGGCATCAACTGCTTTCGAACATATGTGGCTTCTAGTTGGAAAGAGTGCTCCACAAGAACTTTTGAACAAGCTCGTATATGTTTCTGTTACTCATGACCCCAGAATTTTGAAGATCGATACTGTAAGGAGGCAACTTTTTATTCATCTTTGGCTATGGCTAACCCCTGATATAGGCGAGGGCGTATTCTGCCGGTGAAAAATACTATGTCGAAGTCGATATAATTATGAGACAAGAAGAAACATTAAAAGTCACACATGATGTTTCCCAAACTTTGCAAAGAAAGCTTGAGGGTATGTTCAATGTGCTATATTAAATGAATTTCGGAAAATGCTAACAAGACAGGTTTGGCGGATGTTGAAAGAGCTTTCGTCCATGTTGATTACGATGATTTACACGATATCTTCGAGGAACATAAACCACTTTACGAGATTCAAGAACCCAAAGTTCCCATATATGAGAGAGTAAGAGAAAGATTCAAGAGACAGTCGTCTGGAAGAGCAGGAGGTGATGTAATGAGCCCGTTGTCTTGAGTATTCATTCACGAAACGATCTCAAAGCATGAATGATTGTGGACATGAAATGGGAACGAAACTACGATTGGGGCTTGGGGTTGGGATTTGACCTGGAATTGCAACGGCTGGAAAGCAAAACTTTTCCCACTTTGGTAATTCGAATCACATTTGAGTGAGGTGCTGAAAATTGTGCCCGTCACCTATTGCCCAACAAACCTCTAATTCGAAAATGAATTTCCACAAGCCTCTGACGCATAACATTGACAACGAGTTCGAGTGCCAGATCTTGCTTAGGATCTTCTCGATTGATTGATATACCGAACCTCTGCCGGAAAATATCAACAAGATCGCCACAGAAAAAATTGTGATGTGGGTCTGAGGCGTTTATTCTTGGCTACAGGGCGGGCAGGAAACTATCCGACAACATGTACCTATGGCAATCAGACGATGTCAAGTGCAATAGGTTCGCTTTTACAGCCTCTCGTTGGCGCACACGTATGGCCATTCCAAATTGAGTGGATCGATTAGCGGGATAAATGAAGAGGACGGCTGGGGCTGCGTGAGAGAAACGAGCGTATGAAGATTGACACGAAATCAAGCCCAAAGTTGGTGATTTTGATAGAGCATGATCTCATCTTTCTTGACGAGCTACAAATATTAGTGGGCAAAGGGAAGAAATGGAGTTGTTTTGCGGCGTCTATAGATGAATAGATACCCTGGGATTTTTACTGCATGGCATATATATCATAAGAACAATTGAGAAATTTGAGAAGGGTCTCGATCAATACTCATAATTCGCGTGTTTGATATACGTGTATGAAGCTTGAGATGTGAGATATGGTTGAGTGCGACAATAGTGATGTGCGCCAGGAGTCGGCATTGTTCGTTTGGATTTAAGAAAGGGAGAAGACCTTATTCAGTATTAAGATCTTCGATACTAAATATGACATAAGATGTGTATCCTCATCGCGCTGGAGCTGATGTTAGAGATGATATGGCGAGAGCTGTGAGCGGTGATTAGTGAGAGACTTTGCGAATCTCAGCTTCACCACGTCTCGTCCGCTCTTTCCTGCTTCTCAGTAAAAAGTGGTGTTAATAATCATACGTCTTCTTCGAATTTGGCTTTTGAGAAGGTTATAGCGCACCAGGCATAACAGGTTGGTAGAGACTGCTCAACCGGAGATGGGAACCAGAAAGCTTTGGACCTCGAGGGAACACAGCTTTGCGAAGCATTCGAGTGTGCAAGAGGAATCTATTTCTGTGAATATTTTCGGTGAGTTGTGGTCATTGTTATCGCTGTATTTCTGTTGATGGGGCATGATGCTCTTGAGTGTTATTGATTGTAGTCGGTAGTTGCTGAGATGAGCTTTGGATTTTCTTCGGGATTTGAGTAGTTGTGCTCGTGATAGTTGCTGCACCTGGTGTTGACCTGCATCCGTCCTGTCTTGATTGTAAGTTCCATAATCATTGCCTCTATAACTCTTATATCTGGATTGGAGATCTCACCTACTGTCAAAGCTTTGCGTGCCCCTTTAATTGCGAATTATATACTTCGGTCAAGTACCAGATACTTGCGTAGGGGCTTCGAAGGGACTGATGGATACGGGTGGTACTTAATGGCTGTCTTGATAGATCGCTGAAGGGTGTTTTATCATCTGTAGTGCTTGATGCTTAGATTCTTCTTGCTGTTGTAAAGTTCGAAGAGAGCTTTCAAAGTGCCGACATTGACGCATGGATACTTTTAAAGCTGCGGTAATTATGGACTGTCAGGTCGAATTTGATAGTGAGATGAAAATGTTTCGTAGGTCAAAGAAATCAGGAGTCGGAAGGAAACCTTTTTCTGCCATATGCGGTATTCCTTCATTCAGTAAAAGACCTCTAGGATCTTATTGAGAGTATTTAAGCGGTGAAGTGGTGAGCCAGTTTGTATTTTCAGCTGCCTGTTCAAGATTAAACGTAGTTTATGTACTTCTCATCAATGAGAACCCACAGGGTAGATGACGAATTCAAGACCTGAGTTTTGGACCAAAGATACAATTACCCACTGCGTCACGTTCTCTTCTGTTCATTCTTATACTGGTACTCGGTCAGGCAGAGTCTTGGCAACTACTAAGCAAGATGGACATACCATAAGATGGAAAACTATAGACTACTGACCTGGTCTTGTCAGCCGTGGAGTTGCGTACTTGTCAACTGCAGGATCTGTGGGCCGTTGAATAAACTTACGCGGGGACGTAAAATTCAGGGAATATCCTGCGGGGATTTCGGGAGAGAGGGGAGTCGAGAGATTGATATTAAAATAGCGGCGCTATCTTTGATGGTGAAAGTTTCCATGTTAAATTCGTACCAATGGATTAGCACCAGCTTCAGCCTAGGTTTACTCTTGGATCATAATTTCCTGGTCAATTTACTTTTCAACTGTGCCACTATGCAATGTTGTCGTCCAATCTAGATTTTGAGAGTATTGGCAAGGTCGAAAACTACATGAAAGGTGCACTGGTTCATACACGACTTCTCTGTTGAAAGATTACTAAGTCCACTTGATACGTACTTGTTGTCGTCTTACCGAGGGGAAATAGGAGCACTAAATGTTAGGGTTTGATGATCATTATCGACGAATATCAGACTGCTGTCGACTCTTCTTCTATTCTTTCTTTACATTATCACTGCCATTGCCACCCGCTGTAACACTATCCTACCGTATTGATAAACCAGATGATTCTTCTCGTTGAAAGAAGCAGATAAACGTGCTGAATGGAAAGCAGAAGACTGGATCAGTAATGTGAGCTCCAAGTAACTCAATAGACATCAAAACCTTGAGAAGACAACAGGAAGTAAGAGAGGGATCTAACATGAAGAGTGCAGAAAGAAAAGCAGAGCCTATGAGACGGACGATGACTAGAAAGCGTTCTAGAGATACAAAGGGCCTCAATTTTCCAAACCAAAAAACTCAAACTATGAGTTAAGTTCGACTAAATGCTGGCACTATAGCAAGGGGCGAACTTAGTTCCACATAAGGATGCTCTAGCAATCAAAGAGTTTGCTCCTTAGTGAAACACATTATGTGTATTCCCCCATATATTCCAAAGACGGCGAATGAGGTCTATTTTTGGAATAGAGGCTATATAGCATTAGCCACACTCAGAGTGAATAGAAGTAGAATCTTTGGAAACACTGTGTTGAGATTAGGCTACGCAACGGGTACCCACAAAGCAGATAATAGTCTTGATAGATAATCCGCAGATAATCCGTCTGTAAAGCGGATAATTCAAAAATCTGAATAGATAATCTGTAAAACAAATACAAATTACTTATAAATATCTATCTATTTATATATTATATAATTATTTATAATATTAATATAATTTTATAATTAATATAAAAATTAGTATAAATCTAAGCTTAAATTACTTTTAGATTAAAAAATAATCTAAAAATAGTTTTATATTTTAAATGAAAAAAGTAGAGATTTTATATATTCATAAATTATTTATAAATTATTTGTAAATTATTTGCAAATAATCTATATATTTATAGATAATTTGTTTATTTATATATTTATAAATTATTTACAAATAATTTGTAGATTATTTATATAAAATAAATAATTTTAAAGTTTTGATAAATAATTTATGGAGTGGGTAGAATTTCTGATAGATAATCTATAAAGCAGATTATTTGTAGATAATCCACGTGTTACGGGAGCTGCCTCTAGGGTCACGTGGAAGTGTCTAGAGATCTCTCGAGGTGGTTTAGACTAGACTTCAAGTAGGAATTCAATAAGGTTGTAACTGGTTGCAATTCTCGTAACTATAGTAATGAAACTAATGATTGTTCTTGAGCACGAAGCTCTACATTGTAATGAAATCCTGTTCCCTTATATAGACCTTCCTGCTCTGTTAACTCTTGAGTCGATTGTCGAAAGCCGATGGTCGAGTTTCGAAAGTCGAAAGTCGAAAGTCGATTTCGATTGTCGGCTTTTATGGTCACGTGATGCTAATCCTGTAGTTCTTGTTATCCGTCGTAACACCACGGGTACAGATAATTTGTGCGCAGTCTAGTTGAGATATAGAACCTGAAGAAAGAATCCCCTTCGAATTCAAGTAACCTTGAATTATGTGAGATTCTATAATAAATAAGTCGAGTGCCCTACTTTCTGGCCACCTCTGTTTTGGGCCATCCTTTTACATCAAAAAGTACTTTTTCAGCTTGTTAATATCTTTATTAAAATACAATATAATTTATCGAAAATTTATATATATATAATATAGATCATTTTAAGTTTATTCTGAAAATTTTAGATTTTTAGGATTTTTCTGGGTAGAGATCTGAAACTTCAAAATATCGATTTTTCAATTTGTATAGGAATTATATATAAATTTGAAATCAATTTTAAATCTTCAATAACTTTTTAACTATAATTAATAAAAAGAAACTGATTACTTTTTTTGAAAGTTTTGAACTTAAATCTATATAGAAATTATAAAAAATATAAAAAATATTAATAATTATAAAGATATAATTTAAATAAGGAAAAATAATCTCTATAATTTCGAAAATACTTCTATAAACACTTATTGATTGAAATTTTTCTAATCTTTCTGAATTTTCTATATTATAAATAATGAAAATTTATAATAAAAGTTTATAATCTATTTTTAATGATTTTCATTAACAAGTTTTGCATCTCTTTTCTTCTGTAGCCGAAGTTGTTCAAAACTACTTCCCAAACAATTGCGCTCTCGAAAAGATTGTAAACGCTACCATTGAGGCATGTGATCCATTGGACGGGCGTACTTACGGAGTTATCAATCGTTCTGATCTCTGTAAGATCAACTCCAACTTAACCTCTATCACTGGCCAATCATACGCACGCGCTGCTGAGACCAGCTCTTCTCTTGGTTTCGGTTTCAGCAAGCGTCAAGATGCAGGTTCTACCACCACCAGTAGCCCTGCCCAAAATGCTACCATTAACGAGCATGATATTGCTATTGCTCAAACCATCTATGATGGTCTCTTCACTCCTAGTGGCAAGCGCGTATATCTCTCATTTCAAAATGGGGCTGAGCTTGAGGATGCTGTTACTGAGTATGACAACACTACTGGCTCCTACACCTACGAAATCCCAACTACCGGCAGAGTTTTCGTCGCCAAGTTCCTTAAGCAAATCGATGAAGACAGTCTTACCACACTCGAGAATGCTAATTACGATATCTTGTTCGAATGGATGGAAGAGGGACTCGCCAAATATTACGACACCCTTCAAACTACCTTGCCGGATATTTCCGCTTTCACAGACAACGGTGCTAAGCTCCTACATTATCACGGAGAATCTGATCCATCAGTTCCAGCTGGCTCTTCTGTCCACTACTATGACTCTGTCCGCACTACTCTTTACCCAAGCTTCGGATATAACGAGTCTGTCGCCAAGCTCGATGACTTCTATCGTTTCTTCTATATTCCAGGAGCTGCTCACTGTAACACCAACTCTCTCCAACCCAGGCATGGGCATACCCGGTGTTTTTAGCCTTGCCGGGTATTTACCCTGCCAATAGGCATATAGCCGGCCGAATACCTAAAAAAATACCCGGGTATACCCGGGTAAACCCTACTCGGTGCCCAATCCTGCTCCAACCGGGCCCATGGCCTAACAATGTTCTCGCCACTTTGATTAGCTGGGTCGAAGATAACGAGGTCCCAGACCGTTTGAACTCCACTGTTACCTTTGGATCATACGATGGTGAGGCTCAATTGTTGTGCAAGTGGCCAACTCGCCCACTCTGGACTTCTGAGACCACATTTGACTGTGTTTACGACCAAGCATCTATCGACTCTTGGATTTATGTCTTCGATGCCTTTAACCAAACGATCTACTAGAGGGTGTAAAAACAAAGTTTAATTGACCGATAGAGGTGACGATTGAGCTTTGAAAGGGTCTACAAAAAGTGATACGTTATTGTCATGCAGTAACTTTTTGCGTACATCACTTCAATCCAAGTTTGATTAGGGGAGAAGGTATGGCTTTTTCACACGCACCTTGTCATACTTTGTATATAATTCTACCCTGTTCACTCTACTGCAGACCAACAGTGAGATACGTAGACCCCTAAGTCGTGAAGTATGGAACCTAACCCTTCGATTCAAACCATAGACACTGATTGTGATCATAATATTACGAATCATGGTAAGTATGATGAATAAGAGTGAGTACGGATTCACGAACCTACTTACTCCCTGTGCTTGGCGAACCAAAAAGGAAAGTGAATTGACAATTTACACTTACACTTGATGCTTCGAATGCCACTTCCGACTGAGGGACCATGGAGTGTAAGTTTATTATTATGTCATTGAGTTTCCCATCCCTCAATATTTTCTCTGCAACCTCAATCTCTGCAAGCACAGTCCTCCTTCTTCCCACCTCTCCTCCACCCCTTCCACAAGTTAGGACATCTCCACGCAATTTTTTGGTTTGAACATCCCAGCAAGATTCCCCATAATCTCTCAACAGTATATCCTAAATGCGGTCTCTCCAAGCTATCCTTCTCGCCAAATAATTTCGTATTTCTTCCCTCAGGGCCTAACTTCAATCTATCATGAGCCCAGCCCCTACTTAGCGAAGGGTTTGAAAGGGCATCATCCAGAGTTTCCCAGATGTCTTTCCCAATTCCCCGAATGCGAGCCGCTGAAGCAATGAAATTGTTTCCATGAGTTAAGATCGCTTTCTGGCATCTATAAGGCGTCTCGTCCTTTCCAACAGGACGAGATGCAGACCACATACTCGGGATGAGTCTAAATGTATCATTCCAGCCACTTTTATCATAGCATCCATAACAATCACATGTTTCCAGTTCTCCCAAGTTGAGGAATCCAGTCAATATATCTGAGTTCTCTGCTCCTGGTGGTAGCTGAGCGGGGTCGTAATAATCGAATAATCGGCGACCAATAAGATCAAAATCATCGATCGTATGTTGAGACGTGGTGATGAAAAGAGTTTGCGTAGGTAAATTATCCCAACTCTTCAATATATGATGAAGAAAAACACCAGATGGACCTCCAATATTTGGAAGAGGATATATATCCCCAAAACCCACTTCGGCTCGAATTTTCTTTACAATTTCTTCGGATGGATCTTTCGTATAGATTAAAACATTTGGCCTATGAGCTATAATAGTAGGCTGTGAGCTCAAGATTCCTGTTACTATTCCTTTAATTGCAGGAATTGATTCACCAGCTGAATGAGCGATTACAAGTTGTAGACGATTTTTTGTTGCCGCTCTGTAAATTGTATCCAGAGATGGAGACTTGGGGACTGTCCAGAATTTCTGGTCGTGGTGGATAGAGATTGTATCCATCCAATAAAGTATTCCCATCGAACTTAGAACGGTGAATAAAATGGTGGTGGTCCAGAGTAATATGGGTTTATGCCATATTGGGTAAACATTCCGAGCTGGTGTTCCAGATTTTCGTCGTATAGTGTAGACAAAATTCACGAATTTGGGAATGTAGAGGCCTATTTCTTTTGGCCCAAGGCTAATCAGGTAGATAAGCATGAACACAAAGATTTGGAATCCATTCATTGTGTTTTCTTCCTTGAATGTACTCATGAGCATTAGTCCTAAAGATAGGTGGACTGTCGCATCAATTGCGTCGGGAACATTTTTTTCGGTGGATTCATAGGGTGACTTCGAACTGATAGAAAGTGCTAATGTAGATCGTAAAGGAGTATTCCAAAGAACATGAGTCAATGCTCCGGGGGTCAGATTCTTCATGAAGTTTAGGAGTCCCCAAGTCCGAAGAATCGAGAATGCCTCCCCGAAGTCTTCATATCTGTGCGCAGCGAGAATGGTGACGAGCAAACATGGAGGTAATCCACCCCAAAGCATAAAATAGAGTGAGGCTCCATAAGAAGGATTTCTGGGAGATGGTACTTGATATCCAATCGCTGCTATCGTCCTTGCCAGACTGACAAGAAACATACCAAGTATGGCAAACTGAAATGCTTCGATATTGAGTCGATAGTCATTGTAAACAATCGCGGAGGCAAGGCAAAGGATGCCGATAGCCCAAACGACGATAGATCTGTCAAAGCCTTGGTCACGAGAAAGCAATCGTAAGCCATATGCTAGACTGAACAGTAAAGCATCGAACGCATATGTGAGTATCTGTTGGAGTGTCAGAAAACGCGAACAGGAGAATAGAGAGTCTACGTACTAACAATGTAGCAAATACAGCCAAGTTGTTGAAAAGCATGATCGCTTCCGCATTGTATATTAAAGCAACCATCGAAATGAATACCGTGAGGCAGTATCTAGTTAGAACGAAAAGACCTTGCAGAAATGACGGAACGCGACTTGGGTTTAAATCCGGGACGCTCGTGAAGTAGTCGACAAAACTTGTCAAGACCGCGAAAACGCCCAAGCCAAAGTATGCGGCGATTTGCAATAATACCAGAAAACAAATTGCTAAGCACGAGTAAGTCATTTGATTGAGAAGAGTAGCTTTCCCGATCCAAAAGGGGGAGTTGAACCATGGAGGAACACAACTCACGGTAGCCTAAAAAAGGCTATCAGCATGGTTCGAGTAGAAAGGGTTGAGTACAAAGTCTTACGAAAATCCGCGATCAGAAGCCTCCTCGTCGTGAGTATAGACCAAATACTAAAGCCCATCCAAATCCTGTATTGTTCAATTTAGCCCTATTCAGACAAATCTCAAGAGGGTATACATACCAAGGATTCATGAAATGCCATTTTCGTCTCCATCTTCCATTCTCCGGGCCAATCGGAATTATTTCTAATGCTTCTTCCTCATCCCTTCTCATAAGTTCATAGTCATTACTGCTATCCCTGTCACCAAGTTCCCTTTCTTCCATTGCTGCTACTACCACTCCCAATATTGGAGGATTGCTACAAATCGCCTAAAGATTGTTTTTGTTTTGTTTTGTTTTGTTGTTGTTATTGATGGTGATGTAAACAAACTTTGGTCCCACTAACTATCTAGTGTATATCCTAGTAGAAATCAGTGGACGGACGGGGCTGATTCTACTCTGTAGAACTGTAGAAAGCGATTCTGAGAAAGAACTGCAGTTCCAATGAATGAGCTGAGCTGATCTGATTTAATTATTTAACCTTATGGACGACAAAGAACTAGATCAATCCGCGAAATCTTATAGCCGAAAGTAGCATGTTGCAGAGTAGTCAAGTCCCTGAATGTTGAGGACTTGCCCCTGGAAATTTTGAGATGATACTATGATAGGTACTGCTTACCAGCTGGCTCACCAGTTGTAACTCGTGGTGATATGGTGCAAAGTGTCAAAAATTGTCAAAAATTGAATAACCTTACGCTGCCCCTGCTTTGTTTGTAGTCTGTACTCTGTGGAGTGTTTTAGACACCAATGGACCGATTAATCTACAGCCAGAGCAGTGTATGATACCAAATTTGAAGTCTGGCTCTCAAATTCATGTGTAGACACTTTGCTTAATCCTTTAGTAAGAAAGTCGCTAGCAAGTCGCGATCAAGATTCAAGCTTCATCAAGCGCGTAAGCTTCCAGTCATTTTAGTATTCTAGTGTTACGACGACATCCAACATACCGAGTCACCTGATCAGAAAGTCACGGGATTAGAGATTCCCACTGGATCCCACTGCTCCCACCTGGTGGGACACGATGGGATCAATGGGACAACAAGGAACGAAGGTCTATATAAGGGAATGGGTTTCATTACAATGTAGAGCTTCGTGCTCAAGATCAATCATTAGTTTCATACTATAGTTACGAGAATTGCAACCAGTTACAACCTTATTGAATTCCTACTTGAAGTCTAGTCTAAACCACCTCGAGAGATCTCTAGACACTTCCACGTGACCCTAGAGGCAGCTCCCGTAACATCTAGCTGACCATTCACTATTCATAAGGTTTCCTTGTCTCTTTGAAGGCTTAGACTGTAGAGCTCTATGAAGGTCCATATAAGAGTCCACACTAGACTATACATATATCTTTGATGATTGTTGTATACTATAGAAAATTTAAAGGTATATATAGAGTTTAGTATAAAAAACTTGAATTAAATATCTCTGTTAGAAACTTTTAGATTTCAATATATTTGTTTTACATTATTCTCATTTAACCCACATTTAAATTCAGTTATTGCTGTATATAATTATTATATTTATATGAATATATCAAAACGTAGTTCATTAGTATATGAGTTATATTATTATATGAGCTACTTTAAAAATATATCAAATTCAGGATTTTTTGATAATTAGATTTTAAAAACTAATAATTGTTCTCGAAAAAAATAAAATAAATTAAATAATAATGAGATAATATTATTTTAAAAAATTATTTTAGAATTTAATATTCTTATTATATTTGAAAAAAGCAAATCTTGTTATAGTTTTTATTATAAAAAAGTCATTTCTTTAATAACTATTATAATAATTCGAATTTTCTAAAAATAATTAGATTTTCATGATACTAATATAATTAAAGTTTATATGTTAAATTTTCATGAAATTCTATTTGTAAATAAAGAAAGTATACGGTTATACACAGACGAATTTTGTATACAAAATGAACTGACTCATGATATTATAGCCCACATGCTAATGAACCACTTGAAAGAGTCGCTTCGCTCGTCGGAAAAGCGATGATTAGACTAAGAATAATTGATCTAGGTATCAAGAAATGAGAAGTTACTGTGTGATGTTGAAAGCAACTTTTCGTCCTTCTTTTTCTCTAGCAAGATTACATGTTATGTTTCATCACTACAAATATGGCAATTATGAATTGTGTGAATCATGGGTTGAGATGGGGTGAGTATCATGATCACGTGATTTAATGCCAATTTTGGAGTGCGACCTGGCAAAAAAATTCTCTTTCTCTAGATCCATCTCATCAACAACAAACAGAAGTTGCGATTGCTTCCACAGAATTGGATCAATGTCAAAACTAGGAAGAGTACAAAATTTGCTTCCTCGAGGACGCCGAATCATTCGAAAGGAAGATCCTTCCTCTCTTATAACTTTCGCAATAACCGGACCTAAGAGGCGTCCTCGTAATGAGGCAGCATGGGCCCATCACTTCCAGAAACAAAGCTCTCGACTAGTTCTAACTCTTGATATGAGCAATGAAGCAACAGATTTTCGTAATCAACTCAAGAAAAAATATTTTCATGGATGGGGAGGTTTTCCGGATACCCGATTTACACTTATAGATCCCTTACCCGACCGCGATTTTTATATAAAGATGTACAAAGATACAATCAATGACTTTTGTGCGAAAGGACCACCAGAATTTCCCGTCGGTCCAACACAGCACTTTTTTGTTTCCGAGGAACCTAGAGTCTCTGGTCTAGTTGAGCATGTATACCCAAAAGGATCTATCCGAGGGGAGCAGATTGTATGCAAGGAAGCAACTAAGGCAAATTTCTTGATTATGGCGAGTTTCCGCAGAAGATCGGTGGTTCACCTACTTCGTGATTATTTCATAAAGGAATTCGGCAAGTTTCCAAACGAGGAAGTCCAAACTGTTATGAAGAACGTGGGAAAGGAAAAATTCAAAGTCCACTTGCCATTAGGATATTGTAAAGACATGGGAATGTCGAACGCGGAAAGAACAAAGGACGATGTCGCGCGTGAATTTGCAGGAACCGAAGGTCTTCACTTGGGCACTGCTGTGAGTTTAAGTTTATGGCGCAAGCATTACGACGCAGATCCGATGAAGAAATGGGACGATCCAGTGCTGGTGGGTCAGAAATGCATATTTTCTAAAGCGCTTGAAGGAATATCGAAACAACCTTCATCCTCGTTTGTTTCCATCGCTCCCGAAAAACAGTCTACGAAGGGAACTCCAGAAAACGGCGATGATACCCGAAATCTGAGATCAAGCTCTAATATTCCACATTGAAGCAAGGCTGAACTGAGAAGACTTCGATTTAAAAAGGAAATTCAAAATGCACAGATTCATCTAAAGAATTCGGAGTTGTTCAACAAAGGGGGGAAGTGAGGCATGAAATCTCCGGTGAGAAACACTATCTCTTAGAATATGCATAGTTCCCTTAAGTAGGAAAAACACTGTTGTAGGACTCGCTGCAGCAAGCCACATAAGCCATCTCAAATTTGTTATGTAGGCATGGTTCAAAGGAAGTCTGGCAAGTTACGGATTATGTGTGAATTTATGGGAGATGCAAAGCATGAGGCTATCGCACAGAACGAACAATTTTCCCTCAAGTAATGAAATACATTTGATCAAGGGGACATACCACTAACAGCAGTGGATGGTTGAGTGTGAGACGGGATGGATATATTTGGTTAGGAAGTCAGCATTTACCTTGCCAGTCAAGCATGAGGCTAAGATGGTACGAAATATGGGCATAGTTCTGAAAGGCAACCAATTCCGAGGGATCAAGATCATTTCGAACACTTAGTTAGCCAACATGTACATTAACCCTCCATAGATGAGCCGAAGGAATCTCGCAAGTTGATGAGAGATTGGGGACACCATATGATTGAAGTTTGAATCCAGTCAGATGCATCTGCTCAGAGTACATTGTTTTTGTCTTGGTTCTACCACATTTGTGCGCTATCTGGTATTGGAATGTCTCCAAAGTAATTCGATAGATATTAGATGCCGTATGATCATACAAATTGATCAATATCAAGTATGATGACAGGGATACTCTGAGGGTAGGAAATAATTATAACGCCTACGAAGTCTATAACGTTGGCACAGGAATCTGATAGCGAATTACAAAAAGCAAGAAATCATTCGGTGGATCTATTGTTACTTTATCTTGAGTCGTGTAAATTCTAAAATCTATGTCTTATGACTCTAATTTATCTCATATATCTACTTAGTAATACAAATATTAATCGCTCAGCAAACTCCGTATGGTTGAGCCTCCTGAGTCCAATCAATGAACCCATACTCTTTACACTCTTTATCAGCAGCCATCTTTGCACCCCAAAAACCCATCTCTTTCTTGAAAATCTCTACATTCTTTTCAATGCTCAAATCAATAGGCTCTTGATCCTTTCCAACTTGTCTCATTTGGGTACCGGCCGCAATGTTAGTGAACAAGAAATCATTTTCATCCACAGCCATCTTCTTAGCACCAGTAACTCTTCCCTCCAAGATATCCTTTGGAAGTCTAAACTCTTGAGCTGCAGGTCGTGCAATACCGACACCATCAACGGTATCCAATGCGGCAACCATAGCACCAACAGTCTTGAATCCACCGGTAACATATGTCTTAGTCTTAGTCAGAGGCTTGACAATCTCCTCTGCGAATTCAATGAAGAAGTTCTCTCTCTTCTTGGTTGACTCGCGCTTGTGAACAAAAGCAGTTTCCTGGTATGTTCCACCGGAAAGTTCGACGTAATCAAATCGTGCACCTTCGAGTGCCTGGCAAGCAGCCTTAGCATCTTCAGGTGTGAATCCATCTTCTTGGAACTCCACACTGTTCATCTTGATACCAACAATGAAATCTGGCTTTACCCTCTTGTGGATTTCATCTACAATTTCTTGAATGATACGGAATCTGTTCTCGAGCGAGCCACCATATTTGTCGGTTCTCTTGTTTGTAGTCTTGGAGAGGAACTGTGCGAGGAGGTAACCGTGTGCACCGTGGAGTTGAATACCATCAAAACCGGCTTTCTCAAGGTATTCTGCTGCGTGAGCGAACTTGTCGACTATACTGTCGATATCTTCTTGGGTAGCTGGACGTGGCTTATTAAAGGACAATCCCATAGGGTTTCCTGTATAATCATTCGTGTTAGCAAAAACTCGACCAGTATGTCAGACAACATTGGGAAAAGTAAAGAAACGCACCTTCTAACTGAACATCACTGGCAGAGATAGGATTTGGTTGAACCCTGTTCTCGACCTGGCGTCCAGGATGACTGACCTGTGCAACCATCAAACTTCCATGAGCTTTTCCTGCCTTTGCCATAGCCGAGAATCTTTCGAATCGTTCTCCTTCGAATGGAGCTTCTAATGGAATAATTGGGTTGCCCATAGCTTCCAAATGATCATATTCAATCATGACATTTCCCGTCAAGATCTGTCCGTATTCTCCCTCACCCCATCTCTTGTAGACATTGACGAGGTTTGTGGATGGAATTCCTCTAGATTTGAAGTCCTTTGGGTCCCATGATGATTGACGTTCAGTCATGGCCCCCTTCAAAAATCGATTTCGTGCGACTTTGCCGGAAAATTCGTATTTGAGAGGCTTTCCGAGAGGAGAAGCGTCAGAACTAGATGATTCGTATCTGATAGACATCTTGCTAATATTTTATGCTGATAGTACTTAAGAAGTACTAAATAAGGTAATTTGGGCAAAAATACTCATCAAGTCTTTTGGGGGACTTGCTTATATCACTTCCCAGCATCGCTCTCGAAAATAGTAGTGCCGGAGCTCAAGTGGATACAAAATCGTGTACATTTCGAATCGTGTATATTTGAAATCAGATTTGGATTTCTAATAGTATGGAGCATTTTCTCGATTACATTTAGACGTCATGAAAGTATCTGACCAATCAAGAAAAGAAATGCGAGGGGCATTCCTAGTAAATGCCTTGAAAATGACGGTGAAAGGGCCACATGAAGGTTGGAGCGGAATTTATTTAACTCTTCGGCTTTTGGTGATAACATTTGGAACTAGCCTGTGGGTTTTCTCCACTATCACTAGTAATGGAAGTTTCTCGAGAGTCTTTCGGTGGCCAACTTTGCCTCGGATGATATTGTTGTACCGAATAACTTCTGTGTATAATGAATTGACTGGAATCAGAATGAAAAAAGGGAAACGAACGTAAAAGGGGTTTTTCGCTTGACGTCAGCACAAAGTGTCATCTACAAGATATCATAGATAATTTGAATATTTGAAGTGAAAATCCTTTCTATATTTGATCCAATAATGTCTTCATATCTAGTCCTTGAAAGAGATAGGATACACATGACATATAAATAAAATAGTTTAAACCTTTCAGTGCATGATGCGTTCCATGTATCCCAAGTCAATTACCAATAAACGCCAATTTACACCGCCGTAATGTTCAGCTCGATGGGTAGCCCAAAGCCCATTGCAAATCCGAATCTCGTGCCGCTCGAGGAGGGATGATTTTTGTGGTTTCCACATTTCGTCGGAAGATGGTATTGATATCTCAAAATTCACTTATCATGATGCTTCATTCATTTGAAGCATGTGTCCCATCTTCTCAATCTACAAGGTACGCATATTAGACCAAATCCCATTGCGCATACGCTTCGGAGTATAACATACCTTAGTTTTTAGATACCCACCTACCTCCTGACTGCGAATTCCACCAGTCTTTCCACTCCAAGCCAAAGGAACCATGGCGACTCTCTCTTTTACCACCACTTCCCGATTTGGCCCCTCGACTGCTCGTATCTTATCCGGATTGTTCGTCAAAAGTTTGATTTCCTCAACCCCTAAATCTTTCAACATAGCAGTAGCCAATCCATAACTCCTAGCATCTGCCGGATGTCTCAGAAGTAAATTTGCTTCCACAGTATCAGATCCCAAATCCTGTAAATTGTATGCCTTCAGTTTCTCTCCTAAGCCAATACCTCTTCCCTCTTGTCGCAAATAGATTATAATCCCACCCGCGGCTTGTCCGAACGAGTTGGGTAAAGACATTAATCTTGCAGCTTCATCCAATTGCTCACCGCAATCGCATCTTGCAGACCACACAGTCTCTCCCGTGTAACACTCCGAATGAATTCTAACCAGTGGCGCCTCAGCCTTCTCTTCTTGCTTTTCTCGATCCGTGGCCGATGGCGGCATGCTACTTGTAGTGCGACCTGGGAATAATCTTCCCGTATATGCCCCACGTATCAGCCTGTCCATTTCTGTCTCTCCTTCTCGTATGGCATCCAAGCTTTGACTTCGTATTTTGTTACCGAATACTATGGCCAAATGCTCTTTATTATCCTCATCGTTTTGGTATAGGTGCAGAAACATTTCCGTTCCGGTAGTTGTAGGAATTCGTGCGCGAACTACACAATTGACCTCTGGTAGTCTCTCTAGTAGTTTTGGTTTCCTTGAACCACACCCTCCAGCTGATGTACTCGAGTCTACAGGTACTGATCTCGCAGGACGATTTGCGAGAGATGAAGGTGTGGATGTGCCGGGTGTGGACGGTGGTGTAAAGGCTGGGGAGACGAGATCGGGTAGTGATTCGTTGTGATCGGAAAGCTGCGAGGACCTATCATCACGATGAGTGAGAGAGAGATTAGAAACGTCGAGATGATTTAAGTCGAGTTCTGATATTGCGCGGGAGACTGGTATTGGGCGAGGTGAATAGAAGGGTGGGAGAGAGGGGACTTCATCCGATGATTCATGAGGGGTATGGCTCCATTGTTGAGGACGAGTAGAGGATGAGGTTGCGTTGAGGTCCGGCATTTTAGATATTAAATCTGATTTAGCAGACAGTAATCCTCATCAAGAGTAGATGATTAACAAAATCAAGGTATGATTATTACTGCTTCTCTTTTAATTGTTGGTGTATATTTGAAGTTGGAATATTGATTAATTGTGTGATTAATGGACAAAGTGAGTGATAAGTTATAAAAAGTTCCGATACCCCGAGGTCGGGTCCTATAATCAATGATAAATATTAAAATTATGGGGGCACAGGTTATCAATTATACTAAATTTCAAGAAGGCTGACCAAAGGCTGAGTGAGCATGAAGCATAATGTTGCTAGGAATTCATAAATGATTACCAATCGAATATCAGATATCAAATAATGACCGACAACATTAAAATCATATATATTATCTTTCTGTTATAACTCGTAATTATTCTGATCTCGAATGCAAAGTATAATGAGGTCAATTTGGAAAAGGCATCTGGATTTTATCTGCTCGTTTCTCATCACACATCC